TGGATGCTGTATATAATATAAATTAATAGGAGCATTGGAGAAATGATCTAAAATTATACATTTTTATAAAAACTATGCTTGGCTGTACTTTTGTTGAGAAGCCACAGGTTCCTGACTCCTGTTAACATCATTGCACTTGCTAACTCCAAAGTGTTCCTTGTTCACTTCTTTGATATGCTGAATCTGCTTAGTTTGTTTTGGACAAAGCAGCTTAAGTTGGGAAAAGGTGAATAAGCACTGGCAAATAAGATTGCAAATCAAATCCAATTTCATGAAAGCTTTTGTGGGTTTTTTGCATCTATGTCATGTATACAATTTTATGTTAAATTATTTTTGTTGTCTATGGTTGCTTCAGTACCAAATGCAGCAATACTGCCAAGAGACCCTTTTTCCCTCTGTGGCCTACATAGTATAGAACCAATGCAGGAAATGGGACTGTACACTTACTTTTGATATTCTCCATGGGATCTGTATTCAGGACAAGCTAATTTAAATCCTGGGGGAGGTACTGCAGCTGTTGAAATCTTCAGAAGAAGATTTCAGGTCAAAGTCAAATTGATTGCATTTCCCTAAATGTATGCTCTTAAGACACTATTCTTACCCACAGTATGCAATGTCTGTTAGGAATGCTGTGCTCACTGGACTCCTAAACTGCCAGAAAGTCTTTGTGGGCAACTGTTGGAATTGATCAGTGTTAGTGACAGGGAATAACAACAGAACTTGTCTCATTTGGGTGGAAGGGTACCCACTGTACATGCAGGTACTGTACAGACTTGAATTTTGGCAAGGGGGAAAGCATCTGTTTAACTGCATCTAAAATTAAACATGTTGTAGCACAATAAAATTTTTGAAATAAAGAATGTGTCTACTTCTTCACAAGCCAGGGATAAAAGCCAAAGCAGTGACTCACCTGATGTTCTTTGTTCTAGTCTTGTCTTCATAACACAGCCCAATGTCAGTGTTGCCTCAAAAACTACATGTTCTCTGGTCTTAGGGAAATTATTTAGTTGAACTGTACAATACATACAACCTGCAATTCTCTTATCTTCTCATTTCCTCTGAGTTTCTCTGAATACAGAAGTAAATACTGAACTTAACTGAAAGGTGGAACTCAGTGTTCTTGTTATTGTGTCTGCATATACCCTGCACAGAGAAGCTGCAGAGACAGTACCCAAAACTTAGCATGCAGAGTATGTTGCCATTTATTCTGACATGAGTTTAGAGACTTGATAATTCCTAGGAAGGTATATACAAAAAAAATGCACATTAAGACCAAGGAAAGAAATTGCTAATGTTGTTTGTTGATGTCATCTTTATGTATTTGCTGGATTACTTGATATGCTGAAGACTGAGGATAAGGATTAGCTTCAGGTGTTTGAATTAAGAGAAGACTTGGTAATCAATTTAGCAGTTTGACTGAAGTGTTGAGAGACACTTTAATAAGGAAGTTGCTGACAGGATTTAATACTGGAGTTCTCTCCCTGTGGAGGAAAAAGCTGAAAGTTTTCTTGTCTGAAAGATGTAAATGGGGTCAAAAAATTGTAGAGGAAACATGCGTTAGTGTGACTCATTTGATGGGAACATGATCTCACCAGAAATCCTGATATTTCACAGCCTGTATGAATATCCACTGGTCAAGGGATGTGAAATGAGCAACTGATAAAACCAAACTGGGCCTAGTGATCAGTAGGGGAATGGACAAGGGGTGGGAAATCTGTCAAGAACTGAAATGGAAGGAGTAACACTCCACAGCTCTTTTACTGGAGTTTTTCTCACAAGGTCACATTAATCTTTGAGTGCCAGTAGCAGAACTTCTGTGCTGTTCTACTCATGTGGGGATTTTTAAGGCAAAATCATTGTTCACAAATTGGGATGTCAAAATCTGAAAAGCCTTCATTCCAAAAAATTGAAAGATGTCCTTAGTTTAATGTGAAGCAAATGTCAATGAACCTTTTATTGGAAGAGAGATTAGGGCTCAAGTGAATGTTCATAGAAGGTTCCACAAAACTCAAAACATGGAAATGGCAGACTGAGTTAAAGTACTTTTTCTTTTAATTGAACCTCATCTTTGGTGTTTGACATGTTCTGCATCAAGTTAGCAAGAGTTTGACAGAGGGTATGATATTCCAAGTGAAGCCAAATATGGCAGATGCCACAGGACTGGACTTTTATGGTTGCTACATACTTGATAGAGCTGCCGTGAGCTGTTTACAGTGGCAGAAGAACAAGGAAACTAACAAATAATTCTGCCCCCTTACAGCAGAGGTGATCCTTGAGTTTTAAAATACTGATAAATCATGTAGAACAGACTGGAGAGAGAAGCAAAGGTGTGGAAATAAAGGGGAAATTGAGTGCTTTATGTCAACTTCAATGGAGGAGGTTTTGCCAGTTTTGTGCACATCTCAAAGTCTTAAAAACTGAAACCTTGACATTGGTGGCTCAACTGACTTAAGTATTCACTGCACGAATCCATTACTTTCATGTTGTGGAACTTTTTTCATTTTAATTGCAAAATCCATAATTTAACAAGAAGTTATTTCTCTGATTCATCATGCTGTTTTGTAGCAAGAGCTGGGCTGTGCTTGGTTGAAATGTAAAATGAAGAGCTGTTAGAATCCTCAACCTGCCTGACCTAATTAGAGCCCTCCTCCTGTTTCCTATAAAAAGAAAACTGTGTAAGACTCAGTGCCAGTGCTTTGACTGAATTTTATACACACAATGGCTGTGCCTGCTCCTGCTGCCTCTTATGAAGTAAAAGTTTAGGCTCACACTGAGCTGCTTAAATGGTACCACTGGGACCAGACCAAAAGCTTAACAGGATTCTGAGCCACACGTGATGTAGGGCTTGGATTAGTGTTTGGGTTTCAAAGGTCAGCAGAGCCATTGCTGCTTCCAGTGCATGTGCTCTGTGCAGGCACAGCACACAAAAGGGCAAGAGCACAGGTGAACTGCAATAATTTCCTAGGCTGGTGATTTCCCTCTGGAATTTGAGGCAATGCCTGAAATGCTGGTGGGAATGGAGCAGGTAAGACTCTGGATATTTGCATTAATATGATGCTGCCACACTTTGATTACAGAATCTAAGGAAACAGAAACAGGAGGGGAGAGAGAGACTTAATTATTGTTCAGTCTCTGTGAATTACAGTCTGAAATGTTAATTTAATGAATGGTCCATTGAGTCACCCAGGGATGCATTGTGCTTGAATGACTCTGATACAGATGACAATATCATTTTTGTTTAACTGTTCCATGAAACTAGTGTTTCACAAAGTGAATGTAATGACAGTAAATAAATTGGAAGTATAGGTAGAACGCTACTGAATCCAGGTAAATATTTGAGGAAAAAATAGATTATATTATGTAATGAAGATAACAAATTATACATAGTTTTTGTAATTTATACTGGCTACAAAAAAGTGAAGATATTTTACAGGTTGATTTTTGGTTCTAGCTTGAAGCTTCCGTGGTCATGCTTTGTCTATTTTTCTTTTGCTCGAAGCCTGGAAGGCAAAATTTTCATTTCTGTGTCACGGTTTATGTTAAGATGCACAGGAGGCTCTTCCAGTCTGTGTTGGGAGGAAGTGGTGTGGCATTAGATGTGCTGGGAGTTGTTACCTCAGAGCTGCTGAACAGTTTGGTATTTCTTTGTAGATTTTCCCTTCTGGATTTGAAGTTATGAATTAGTGTTGTTTTAAAACAGAATTCTAAGTTTAATGAAAGAGAAATAAATGTCAGTAGCTTGTTACAAGGAAAAAAGGGCACCTGCATTATAAGAAGGCAGAAACTGCCTAAAGTAGTTTATATATATCTCTATCACTTTTTTGTCCTGTGAATATTAGTTGTTTGTCATAAGTAAAGGCCATTTATAATATAATTCTATTAAATTTTAGCATGATTCTATTAAATTCTGATAGATTTTTCTGATTTCTCTTCAACTGTGTGTTAGTTCCTACAGTATCAGCTGGTTTCCCTCCTTGACTACTACCAATTAAATACTGTTCTAATCAAGTCAAGTTGAAATAAATTCATCAGTGGCAGATATAAGTGTGAACGTAGCTAAAGTGAGTCTTGGCCACTAATTCTTACACATCTACTTAACTTTAGTCCTGTTTTTTAAAAAAATGCCAGGCGTGGTCTCTGCCTTTGTGGGTCAGAAATGGCACAGCAACACTTTGTATACAAGTTCCTGTTACTTTGCAAAACTTGCATCAGAGAAAACCAAATCTGTCATGTTGTAAGCATAAAATTATATATATAGGATGTGTACCAGAAGCAGTGATTGCTTTCTCAAAGGCAGCTTCCCTTTCTCTGTGGGATTTTACCAGTTGGCTTTAGATCAAACTCTGGATAAAGGCAAATTGAAAATGCTTATTATTTTCCACCCTTCTAAAAGGAGAAATGAAGTAACTTCTAGTAATTGTGACTGAGCCATATTAAGAGGAATGTTCTAGCAGCCAAATATGATATTTCGGTCCAATTATAAAGTTCCTCACAATGGAAAGATCACGGTTTCAATAGGTGAACTTGGTAATGCTAAAGGTCAGACAGGTGATTACTGCAGTAACTTTAATTACTGTTCGAAGCACCATAAACACGGTGCAAACAGGAGCCAGCCTGCGGCTGAGCACTCCGGCTCCCTCCCGCTTCCTTCTCCACCCCGAGAAAATCAACACCAGTAATGGGCATGGGGGCTGCTTTCCTAAAACCCAGTATGCTTTTAGGTTTTGTGGAGAGGGGACGGGATTGCCGCTGTGTCCCTGCTAAAGCGCGTGCCGTGGACCGCGTATTTTAAATTAATAAAAAAAGCGCTTTTTCTCAGTGTTGGGAACAGTCGCTTCCCCGCCGCTCCACGTGGGATCGGGGTTGTCTCTCCGGGACTACAAAGCCCCGCCCCCTCCGCGTCGGCCCCGCCCCCTCAGCCAATGAGCGCGCGGCGGCGGGGGGCGCGTGCGTCGCGCGCGGCGCGGCCGGGCTCGGGCGCCCCCTGTCGGTCGGTCCGTCGCGCAGCGCCGGGCGCGGAGCGGGAGCGGCACCAGGCCCGGCCATGGTCGGCCGGGAGAAGGAGCTCCGGATTCGCTTCGCGCCGGGCCGCTGCGAGCTCGTCGAGGTGAGTCCTCTGCGGGGAGCTCTGGAGGTGAGCTCGGGGGGCGGGTCCCTGCGGGAGTGCGGCGCGGGGCCGGGCGGGCAGGCCCCGAGCGCTGAGGGAGGCCCCGGGGGGGGCCGCGGCCGCGGGGGCTGCGCCTGAGGGAGCGCGGGGAGCGCTGCCGGGGGCTCCGGGGGCCGAGCGGCGCGGGGGCTGCTCGCGGTGTCGGACCGGAATGGCCACACGGCGCTGAGGGGTTGTGGCGCCGTGTCACGGCACAGGGAGGGTCTCTGTGCCATGGGGAGCCTGTGCAGTGATTCCACACAGGATTCCACTCGGGTTGCCTTTGGGAGGCTCGGCCCTGCCCGCTGCCCCGGGCGGTGCCCATGATCCCCACAGGTGTCCGTGAGCTGCCGCAGCGATGGGGGTTTGATGGGCGAGGGGAACGCGGAGCAGCCTCTGGGAGCGCGGTGAGGGTTCGGCTGTCAGGCGGAATTTTGCAAAGCCCGAGGGTTTGCCTTTTGCTTTCTGTCCCTGTAGGGGATGTCAGAGCTGAGCCCGAGCTCGGTCTGCCCGTGCCTTCCCTGCAGGGACTTGTGTATCACCGTATTATGTTGCAAATGTGTGTTACACTGGGAGCTTCCGCTTTGTAGTGGCATTTCCTTAAAGTTGGTGTTTTGAGTTCGTCGTGATTTTCTAAATAAAAATACGAAACTTAAAGAGTACTTGTTTCTGTTTTTACCTCGAAACGCATCACGTTTTGCTCTCTTTGTAAATTACACTCCTGTTTTGTATTTTGTTAGCGTCTGCAAAGTAATCTGATGTCTCATAAGTGTTATTTTTTAATCTTACGATGTTGTCACTTGTTTATTTCGATGTGAATGAGACAGCCAAGCACAATTCGTTTTTTATTGTGTTAGTTCTTAATTAATGTGGACATCAGATAAAACAGAATTAAATTGGATGCTTCATTATGAAGCTCAAAATTCTTCGTATCAGTGGTTTGTGAAGACAAGTTTTTGCGTGCTCGATGATTGGAATGTGCTTGTGGCTTAGTTGAGAAACACACGTGAAGGATTTGTTAGCACAAAGCTCATCTGAACAGGGACCTGCATTTACACCTATAAAACTTGCAGGCAGAGGGATAATATTTGAGTTCTAGAATGTCTTTTATTCTTTATACAGTAATGGTATATAAAATTACTTCAAAATCAAAGTGTGCTTTGTAGCTCTCTTGCCTGTGTGTGGGCAACAGCAGCACCTGCACATCTGTGAGAGCACCTGCAAACAGCAGTGGTGGGAACATGGAGCTTCAGAGGGCCTTTGGGCTCAGAAGTTCTGTGGTTCTGAGACAGAAATGCTGCTGCAGCTGGGGGATGTTCTGTGAAGAAGCTTATAGGGAAAGAGTTCATCTGTGCAGGTTTTGTTATCACCAGAACGTGTAACTTCTGGCAAGGTGAAGTAGGTTCAAACTGGTAGTTGGTTTGTGTTGAATTTATGGGAAACATCTACCATTTATCTTGCTTTTTCAGAAACAAGTGACTAAAATCAATCAGTCTTGCAGACAAGAGCAACAGGATGCAAGCTGTGCTTGGTGAAAGCTGTGTTTGTGTCCAGTTCAAGCTGTGCTGCTGATGTAACATCCTCTTTATGCTGTGCAGAATAAACAAACTTAGATGAATGAGGCTTAGAAATGTCAGATTTCACAAATGACACTTGGTTTTGTGTTGGTCACTTCCTTCTTATTAAAGATGTTCAGTGACATTTTTAGAGAACCTTTTGACTCTGTTCTGTAGCAAGTCTTAGATGTTTGTTAGAGCAGCTCTGGCTGCAGAAACACTGGTCTAATGTCCTGTGACACTCTGGGCAGATTTTGCAAAGGGAAAAAGTACAGGAGAAAACAGTAGTTGCACATTCTCACTCATGCTCTTCAGAGAAACATGGATAGCCTTAAAATTGTAAATAAACTTGTGTTCTGAGGTAAAATTTAAGGACGTCAACAAACAAAATTTTTGAAACATTAGTTGCTATAGTCTGTCATTTTCAGGCAACTGTCCAGATATAAATTATTAATTTTCATCCAGTACTGATGGGAATAAATCATCCTTCACCTGGAGATTTAGAGATGAGACAAATGCATGCACAGTACTGGGAACTGGAAGCAATTGTTTTAGGATAGGCTCTTTCTGTCATGCACAGAGCTCTGCTTATACCCTTGTGGAACAAAAGCTTTGTAATTTCAAGGGTGAAAAACAGTAATTTGGAAGCAATTGCTGTGGTTTCCTGAGCTGCAATCAAAAAGTAGCAATCTGGTACAATGCTCAGAAATTCCTGGGCTGTTGGGATTGCATAGCAGAAGTATTCTGTGATGTACAAAATTATAGTCAGTTATCACAAATTGTCCTTTTGTGTAAAGTAATCAGGAAATCCAAGGTTTGTGGGTTCTGCACACCCAAAGTTTTTTTCTGTACTGGCATGGTAAGCATATGCTTTCATTTTTGTGTTGTGTTTTAGTTTTCATGTTGCTGTTGTTCATGGTAGATGCAGAGGCAAAGCATGAAAGGAAAATAAAGATTGTATAGACAGACACGGATCTTGTGTTTGCTGCCTTTAAAACTTGATGTTCTAGTGAGAGGTGGATAAAGTTTGTGTGTGCTGATTTACAAAGCTGTCCCAGTACCAAAATGGGGAGCTGAAGTACGGCTTTAGTCTGAGAGTTGAAATTGTCAAATCATTTTCAGGTGCGTTTTGTAAAACTGGCAAGAGATCTGTGGGTTGGTTTTACTTATTAGACTATTTTGTTGAGTAACAATCAATTGCTGTTCTATTTAATAATAAAATTAAAGTCTTTAGTTCTTACAGTGATTTATGTTGTATTACTGCAGCTTCTAACAGGCACAATCTATCCAAAATTGTTTCTTATACCATTTGGACCCTAAATCTTACATCTTTTGGGTCCATTTTCTAAAGAACTTGTTTCCCTCCTTTCAGATTGCACAAAGCTGTCAGCTTTTGAATGAACTTAAAATTCTGTCTTCACTAGTGGTTTGGTTTGTTGTAGAAGTAAATGAGTTTCCTGCTAAAGTTTAGTTTTCATTATCTTCAAGTGTATGTTTAAATATTAATCTAGCTGCAGTATTGGTGCTCCCAGATGTTTGTGTTCCGTGAGACACTCCAAAAGACTCAGGAAGAGCTTATTTAATACAGTAGCTCTGACTGTGGCCTCACATACTTTTAAAGAAAAAACAGTAGAAAATTGCAGTAGAAACAAAACTTTTCCTGTTGTCATTTTCCTAGGAAGATGTTGACGTTCCCAGTAGGCGAGTTTTGATCACTGGTGCTACGGGACTTCTTGGCAGAGCTGTGTTTAAAGAATTCCGTGAAAATAACTGGAATGCAGTTGGCTGTGGATACAGGAGAGCTCAGCCCAGATTTGAACAGATTAATCTTCTGGACTCTATTGCAGTTCATGACATTATCCATGATTTTCAGGTAAGTTTGTGGAGTATGAAGTGGATGGATGGGGTACTTCGTGTAGTAGTCAGTGGATGGTGCTGCTGAGCTCTGGGACTTCAGTGGGACTGATGCTTGGGCAGAGCTCTCACAAATGTGTGTTGTGCCCCACCCAGAGGAGGTTTGCTCTGTAGGGACAGAGCTCTGACCTGTGCTGTCCTCACCTCGACAGGCTGCAGGCACAGCTGTACATGGCAGAGCAAAGGACAAGAGAAATGTGAGTTATTGGCACGGTAATGTGTCAATACACAGTGCAAGAACACCTGAACACAACAGCAGGAACTGTGTGTAGCCTGCAGTGCAGTGAGGAGTTCACTGTTTTTTCAGTTCACCTGGAAAAGGGAATATATAAAACCTACAGTTCTATAAAATGGCTTTTAATATCTCCTTAATAATCTTCATATGTTAAATAAGCCGTGTGTAAATGGCTTATCTAAAAATTTTTAGCACCCTTGTGCATGTGAGAAATACATCTTTGTATTAATATATTTTATTATACAGAGTTAAAAAGGCAAAATCAACAACTTCAATCTCACTGTAAAATTGAAGCTACTGAAGATCACAATTGCAAAAGTGATGATAAATGTTTTTGGTATCTTGAGGCAGCAAGGTTGTATTGTACTCCCTAGGGAACACATGCTCCTCAGAATGCCGTGATTAAAAGGAACACTGCTACTTTTATTACTTCACTTTTGCCTGAAGGGCATCATCACTACAGTTAGGGTGCAACTGCAATCTCTTGACCATGTTGGTTGTTTAAAATTAGTCTTTAATTTCCAGCCTCATGTTATAGTGCATTGTGCTGCTGAAAGAAGGCCAGATATTGTAGAAAGTCAACCAGATGCTGCTTCTCAGCTCAATGTGGCTGCTTCAGCAAACTTGGCAAAAGAGGCAGGTAAGGAGACCATGTCACGGATTGTTTTTGTTTTTTTTTTTTTAATATACTGCATTTATTTGTACAGGGACATCAATACAAGTAAGTTACTCTAAGTGCTGAATGTCACTTCTGCCATCAGTGTGCCATCCATCCATTTTCTGTAAGGATGTTGTGCACAGATATGTGAAGGATCAGCAACAAAGCAGTAGGAATGAATGGGGAGAGAACATGAGGTCCTTGGGAGATTTGTTTTGAAGTTTGTTGGGATTTCAAAAAAGGCATGAATTAAAATAAACTATATATAAACATTTTCTTCCTAGCTGGAGTTGGAGCGTTCCTGATCTACATTAGTACAGACTATGTGTTTGATGGAACAAGCCCTCCTTATAAAGAGACTGATGTACCAAATCCCCTGAATTTATATGGTAAAACCAAGCTGGAGGGTGAAAAGGCAGTCCTGGAAAACAATGAAGGTAAGAATGTTTTTAATAGAGGCTTTCTATTTATGCCAAGTTGTAGATTGGCATTATAGACTCCTAAGTCAGTGGTGAAGTTGGAAAACCATGGAAATGAGATGCAGAGAAGAATGGGATTAGCAGTCAGTCCTTGCTTGTGAATGGTTGGTCTTGCCTATAGGTTGACTAAAGCTTTATTTCTTACCTGTTCCCATCATCATTTGTGTGACTTGTCTCTGCTGATGGACATTTGTGAGCCTTTTTCTCCTGTGAATCTGCTGTTCCCAAGGAAAGGTAAAATACCTCACTGGATATACAGCTGCTGTTATTTAGGGGGATGCACTGCAAGTGTTCTCAGTGGATGTTCACTTAAAGGGAAAACCAGACTTGTGATTCAACGGCAACCCAGATCCAATCAACATGTTCTTTTGTTACTCTTTGGGTTTTGCTCTCATTACAGAAACCAACGGGCCACTCATTTTGTTTTTACCCACCTAGCTTACCACACACATCAGATTCCTGCTTGTAACACTTCCTAAAGGCTTAATAACACATTTGTGATTTTAAGCAACTCATTTTATTTTTTAATTTATTGTTTTAATATTTTCTTAATGAAAATTTGGCATTCAAAATATGCACACATAATTAAAAAAATTCTATTTAATAAGGAAAAAAAGCTTGGGACTGAACATATTGCCTTTAAGTTAAGACTTCTTTCTTGTTTAAAAGAGAGGTTTGGCTGTTTCTAGTTAGTGTGCTATCAGTTTCCAGTCATTGATTATAAGGAAAGAAGCACTTGTATTTTTTCAAAGAATTTGAAGAAAATAATCTCAGTACACTTGCAGAAAAGTCTTCTGATATGTCAGTATGATACTTGCACTGTGATTCTGTGCTGCCCAAACGGAGAGCACTGAGCAATACATAAATTAGTGTGATGGTCTTTCTGTAAGTAAATATAAACTATGTAAGATAGATTTGGCATCACCAGTAAGAAAGAGACTTTCTAAAAAATACTTGGTTAGGAAAAGTCCTATTTAAGTAAAAAATAATTTTGAATGATAAGTTATTCACTCCACCTCTTGATTAAATATCATCTCTGAATTTGACTGTGATGCTGTTTGCTCCCTCTTCTAGATTGGTAATGAAGATAAGACTTCACCAAATTCAAGTACGTGTGGGTATCTTGCTTAGACCCTTCCCCAGCTCAACATTCAGTTTGGTTTTGTAGCCTTTTTGAGCAGGATGTGTCAGGCAGCAGTGGGGTGCAGAAGGAGTTTTGAGGTGGTGCTGAGTAAGGTCCTTGAAAATACCAGTTCTATTGCTTCATACAAATATAAATATTTTACATGTATTTGTTTTTCAACCCCTAATTTGTAGGTTGAATTCAGTCTGTCAAACGTGTGGTTGGATGAAGAACTGCCCTGTCAAATTCTGTTGTACAATGCAAGAATCTCCAGTAATAATTTGGGTGCTTTCACATTTGGTTAGGAGGGAATACAGGTTATATTTAGTTCTCATGCATAGAAAGCTGCAAAGTTTCAGTAGGTCTTCAGAGCAGTTGGTCATGAGGTTAATGCTCTCCTTGTCCCAGATAGCTGAGAACAAAAGGAAGGCAGTTGTCTTCTCAAACAATGAATACTTTAAAGATATTAAAAAAGAGGTGTTTCAACCAATATTTAAAGAGAGGAAGAACATATTTGCAGAGTGACCAAATAACTGTTTCTAGAGCAGCAGGAAATCAGTGTCATTTGGGTTTTCTATTTGTTTTTCTTGTCTAAGTACTTATTCTGGTTTACTTTTCTGTGAGAGTAACTTCCGTATTAGCTTTTTCTGTTTGTCTCTCTAATAGCCATAGCATTTTCCTCCAAATCTTTTAAGAATTGCAATGGTTTGGTGACTTCAGCTTCAAATTTCAGGACTGATATTTTTTTTTCTCTTTCAGCAAAGCTGTTACTTTTAGTGAATTTGTCATAGCCATCTTGGAATTCCCCTGAGAGCCTTTTTGAGTCTTCATGACTGAGATAGACTAGTATGATATATTCCATCATGAAATATCCTTCACTTTGCACTTGTTTACTGTTAATTTAAATTCTCAAATCACTGTCTTGAAATCTGCTGTGTTCTGTGAACCTGTTCCTTATTTGTCAAGCTTTTTATTCATTCCAAAGTTCATGTCTTTTTTCTGGTAAATGGTATCCTCCTTGATGCAGGAGGTGGCTGCATGCTGGATGAAAAATCTTTGTAATTGATGCCTGAATATGGTGACTTGTGATTGGAAGGAATTTTTCTACATGCTCTTATCCAGGGAGGATGGGGAGTGCTGGAGTAATTCCATAGTACAGTCAGGTTTTTTAATTTTTAAATTTTTGTTCTAACCCAAACAGGCCCTTTTGTGCTGTTAATGAAAGCTTGTTAACTTTCTGGAAATCAATGGCATAAATGAAAGTAAATTTATACATCTTAGTGTTTATTAACTGCTTTGATATAAATTAAAATTATTCTCTGAGAGCAAACATATTAACTAGTTGCCTTTTATTTGTGATTTGTAGATGCTTAATATCATCAACTTATTTTTAACACTTCCAAACTACTTCTCAGGTTATGCTGCAGCATTTGTACCTCTCTATACCAATGGTAATGCTTTTAAAATATTCTTTCTTTTAGGAGCTGCAGTACTTAGGATTCCTGTCTTGTATGGAGAGGTAGAAAGACTGGAGGAAAGTGCTGTGACTGTTATGTTTGATAAAGTACAGTTCAGTAATAAATCTGCCAACATGGACCACTGGCAGCAGAGATTTCCTACCAATGTCAAGGATGTAGCAGCTGTTTGCAGACAACTGGCAGAGAAGAGAATGATGGTAAGAGTGTCAAGAAATGAGTCTTTGCAAGGCGAAAACAGTTTGAGTTCTCAGCTTTGTTTCTGAACAACTGAGAATTGCACATAACCTAAATTATTCTTTGCATTTCTGGAATGCTGGGAGGGAGGCAAGAACTGGCTATAATACTACACTACCTTTACGTGATGTGGGGGAATTGTGGTCTTTAAAACAAAAGTGAATGAAGTGATGGGACAAAACCTGAAAGTTGTCCTGTGTCTTCTAGTATAGAGGAGAGAAATGGAAATGCCTAACTTATTCTGAAGTGCCTCTTAAAAATTGGTATTTTGGACTAAAAAAACCCCATGGTGGCTGAATGTAATTCTCAAAGATGCCCTTGATTATTGTGTTAAGAACACTAAAGTGGCAAAAGAAAGCCACTGAATGGAAATACTTTATTGTGTTTGTTCACCTCAGCACCTTCAGATTACCATGTTTGCAAGGTAACAGAACAAAACAATAATCAACCACCTTTATTTTTTCATACATGTAACAAGGAAAACATGGACCATGCACATAAGGTGGATAAGATGCAGTTTGATTGGACTCCTGCAGGATTTGCAGTTTGACATTCAGAATGTGTGTGGTGCCTTTTGCCTTTGTTTTCAAGTAAGCAAATGGCACAGAACAGCTCAGTTGCTCCTCCCCAGCTCTTTGACCTTGGTTGGAGGGTGGAGCTGGGCTGCTCCTTTCCCTCCTGTTCATTCTCCAGAACACAGGCTGTTTGTGAACAGTCAGGTCAGATCCATGTAACACCAGTTTCCAGTCTCAATCCCCAGATGGGTGTTCTCTGGAAAGGTACCGAGTTTCCAGAACACCAGTGAGGTGCCTTTCAGGATAGGGTCTTGCTGGGTGATTATTCTGCACAGCTCTTGCCCAGGGATTAGTCTGAGGGCCAGCTGGCTGCTGCTTTTCATCTGTGCTTCCTGTTCTTTCTCTAGGACCCATCAGTAAAAGGAACATTTCACTGGTCTGGCAATGAGCAGATGACTAAGTACGAGATGGCCTGTGCAATTGCAGATGCTTTCAACCTCCCCAGCAGCCACTTGAGACCAGTAAGTGATGTGTTGTTCGACCTGTAGAAAGGTGGATGTGCTTGGTCATTCCAAGGAGTTGGTCTCACACTGGCTGTGCCAGTGAGCTTCCTCTTCAGGAGGGTTGTGCCTGTCTGGCACAGCAGCTGTATTGCTGAGGGGGCTGTCTGGGATCCAGCTCAGGAAAACAACAGCTGCTTTGACCTGCTGAATTAGGAAAATTACCCAGTCAGGCACCAGTTTCACAATCTGCAATGTAATGGTGTTTCTGCAGAACAGTTCCCCTGAGTCACGAGTAAATCCATATCTTTGTTGTGTCTTTGACCTTAAAAAAAGCTCACAGATTGACAGAACATTAACTTGCAGGTAGGAATCTGTAAAAACTCTGCAATGCCCAGATTTATTTCTGAATACATGCACTTAAGAACTTCAAAGGATTTTTACTTTGCTTAAAATGCCTGTCCTGCAGTTTTATTGACACTTGAAAGTGAGACTAAAGACATAATGATAATGTGGTGAGAATATAACATTTAAGCAAGACTTTATTTATATCCAAAATAAATTCCAAGCATGTGGAATTGGTAACACTGGAACTGAAATGTGGCTTGGAAGATGGCAAGAAAAACAGTGGAGAACACTGAGTCTGAATTTTTTCTGCCCAAATCTACTCTTCAAGTATATTGATCAAAACATGGTTCTGTGAACATTCTGGAGCATTTCTTACCTTGTGATTATAATCATAGAGTGAAAATAGGAATAAAAGGTAGAAAAGCACAAATAGCAGCAGTAACTGAGTGAGAAAAATTTAACTTCATACCGCCCTGCCTGACATCTGTTGAAATGAAGTTAACCAGAAAACAAGCAAACAAACAAAAAATCCCAAACAAAAACACCCACAGAAAATAGTTAGAGGGGAGGAGGGGAACATACCTACATAGAAAGCTATGAAGGAAAATTTTAATGTATGTATGTGAGTATTTTTCTGTTACTTCTGATTACTTGTTGACGTGTTGTTTTTTTATCTCCTGTTTCTGTTTTAGATTACTGACAGTCCAGTTGTGGGTGCTCTTCGCCCCAGGAATGCTCAGCTGGACTGCTCCAAGCTGGAGATGCTGGGGATAGGCCAGAGAACACCATTTCGAGCTGGGATCAAAGAGTCACTTTGGCCTTTCCTTATTGACAAGAGATGGAGGCAGACAGTCTTCCATTAGTTTGTAACTTTTTTAGTAAAAGTATGCTATGTGGCACTTTTTTAAAAGAAAAAAATAGTTTTGTATGAGTGTTCTTAAATTGTGACATTTATGAGCTTTCATTTAATCGGGTAAACAAATGGTCTTGCACTAGTGAAACTGTTAGCCTAAAAAAAGTTCAGTGACAAGAACTGAGCCTATTTGATGTCATGCATCTCTCCTTCCATTTGTACCAGTCTAACTTAATATCTGTTCCAGGCAGATTGAGGTTCTTAGTAATCAGTGCCATGTGATGCTAAGAATCACTTCACTTGCTGACTTACTTTTGGCTGAACTATGTTGTTGATGCTTAAGATCTGTGTCATTGTTGTATATACCATTTCTCCTCATTAAAAGACATGGTCGGTTACTTTATTATCAAAAATTCGAGTTTTTTGTTTTTAACTTCTGCAGGTGGTGTTCTTAGGGAGTTAAGCTGAAGTAGGAATAGTTAAATACTTGTTTTGCTTGAGCTCTGATCAAAATGTTTTTTAAAAAAGTGAAACCTTATTTTTGCAATTATCAAGTGTACTTTTTATGCTTGAAATATTTTCAGAATGTTCTGTAACTCGAATGCCTGCAGCTTTGTATTTGTACAGTAAGTTGTATGCATTTGTTTAAACGGTGACTTGTAAAAGCTAGAAGGGGGTGGGGAGGGTGGGGAATAGTTTTGACCTGGGGTTTTTTTTGGGTGGGGGACTGGAGTTGGAGGATTCCTTTTTTTTTTTTTTTTTTTTTGACTGGGTGGGTGGTTGTTTTTCTTACAAAAGCATAAAATATCTTCATCTTTCTCTTTTTGGGGGGCAGTATTTGGGATTGGTTAAGCTGATGGGAAGAATTTGTTTGTTAGTTGATACAGTGAGATGGAGAGGAAAGGTGTTTAAGAATTTGTAGCACTGCGGCTTCTTTTGCACAGACTGTCAGACCTTGCACTGATGCAGCTTGTTCTGGAACAGCAAAGTGCTTGTGTTGAAGGTTTGCAGCATAATAATGTAACCACAATAGTCTAATATAAGTCTTTAGTCTGCTTAAGTCTTATCTTTAAAGCTGGACTCAATAGCCAGGTAAAGTGGAGGAAGAACACGTTTGTAAAGGTTTGCTTTCTTCTGAAGTTGTAGAATTAACAATATAAATGTTCTTCTATTGGCAGGAGGTTATTAGGAAAGCCAATAAAAGGTGCAGTTGAATGATCATTTATTTTTCTGAGGCTTAAATAAAGGAGGAGGGAAAGATGTTCAGATTTAATTTGAAAAAAAAAGAAGGGGGTTGAGGGGAGACACACAAAAATAGACCAACTGAAGGTCTTGTAAAGGTGAGCTTTATGTTCAGTCATTTAATTTCAACTGGCATATGCTAAGCATTCATAATCCCAATTTGTTTTTAGTCTGAAGTCCTGTTATACACATGGTAATTTATCTCCAAAATGACAATAAATATATATTGCCAGCATGAGAAACAGTAGTTGATTCTTTCTTTACCATTAGGATTTGTTTATCTGGATCATAAATATTTGCAGTTCTTCTTGAAATCTCTGTGCCGTTTCAGTGTTGGTTTTTTTCCTCTCTTTATTTCAGTAACTATTTCCAGAGTCAGATTAGGTGAGATCAGTTTCTCTGACAATGTGTCACTGCCTTGGGGATGTGATAAATGTACACACAAAAGGTACAGAAGGTTTTGAAAATATGAGCCTGAAACATCCTGGGCCTCAGTGCTGGATCAGGAAGATTCTGAGTACACCTCCTCCCCTCGCAGGGAACAGTTTGCCCAGGAAGGAAGAAAGATGATTTCTTTCCCAAACATAAAGCACCTGATTGGGATGAGTTGGGCATTTTACTGGCAGGAGGGAATTGCAATTTTTGAATTTTATTTTCCACACTGAGCAAGTGAGTCAGTCCCAGTCCTAGTGCTGTAAACACTGAACTGTGACAGTGCACAGTTTTGACAATTCAAAGTTTATTTTGAAGTGCAAGGAAAAACAACCTAAAGGGGTTTGGAGTAAGTCACACTGACTATAACTGGATTAAATGGGTAGCTCCTTTCATTCTTTAATTTTTGTAGTATGGCTCAGAAGTATAACCTAGGTTGAATGTTCATATGTTAATCCTTTTACCAGGCATTTTGGAGTAATTCTGCCTAAATTCTGACAAAAGCAGTGATGAACTTCAAGCTGTCATAATTAATTATGTGGGAAGTCACAAGCTGGGATATCCAATCCCTTTATATAAATGCGTGGATTCTGTTCAGATAAATAGACACTTATTTTCAGTATGCTAGTGATAAAATTTAGCAATCTATATTTATTTCTTAATGTATTTTCCATTTTGCTCCATATGTGTACTACATAAAATAAATACCAAATTCCATTTGGATATCACTTCTTTCTTTTACAACCACAAGCTGAAGGCTGTGACAATACAAAGGTTAAGGGCAAGTATTTTCCTAATGGTCATGTCTGTTTGCTACATAGTTTTCCTGCCAAGAAAAATATTCTTAATGCTTAAAAGGTGAAAATCATAGCAAGTTACAAAATCAGTAACAGTATCATCATAGATGTAAATACTTAAACCAAAATATGGAAACAACAGTTCCTTTTAATCTTTTTTTGTACCAAGTAACGAATAAGGAATCATTATTTCAAGAGTTACAATGGGAAATGAGAAATTGGTTGACTGTCAGTTCTGTGGAAAAAAGCCCCCTGTCCAGCTATAGCTTGTCAGGGGGAATCTGTGTCCTCAGCATCCCCCTTGGAGGCTGCAGTCTCAAGGCACTCAGCAGAGAAAGAGCTGAAATAATTCACTCAGCTTTGCCTGACATCACCCCCCTGTAACAACACATTTATCTCCACTCATTGCATCCGAGCCTGTTCTGCTGCAGAGGTGAATATGGGTGTCTGAATTAGGACAGTTGGCTGAAACCAATTTTTCAGTGATTAATATAAAGAGAAATAAGTCTGCTCAGGACTCCTCCTCCCTGCCTGTGCAGTGTGTGTTCAGAGGGACTGCACAGCTGTGCAGGAGGCTCAGGAAATGCCCTGACTGTGGAGAGTGTGTTGGCAGCAGATGAACCAGCTCCTGCTCCAGAGCACTCCAAGGCACCTTCAGGAGGTACCTGCAGGAGCTCCCAGGTGACCTGTGCCTATGTGTCACCTGGCAGAGCAGGTAACTTGGTTTCAAATTATATCGGTGATTTCTGCCCTAAGTTACATGAGGCTGTTTTACACTAACTCACTAATGACATCAATTACCCAAGTTTTTAACCATTTTGTTCCCACATGCTCTGTAATTAAATCAAATCTGGATGCTCTTTTTAAGGGGCACATCTTTATTTCCCTGATTGGCTTGATGTGTTTACAGCCAGTCACTCACATATGAAGCTGCTTGTACATCTAGGGATTACAGTATAACAGGAACTTAGATGAGCTGTATAATAAGACAGAAATACATAACCTCCTACAGTATACACTGGTTTTGGTGACATTTTGCAGTTCAGACATAAATTGAATTGGTAAGATTAGCACTGTCTTGAGGGTCCCTGAGTTGCAGCTTTGAGCTCAGGGAACTGGTGGCTTGGCAGTGTTGTTTGTCTACTTTATAACTCTTACTTGCCTGAATTTGTATTTAATTATAACCTTAGAGAAGTGAGGCTTCTGTCTGAAATGGCTCCTTTATAACCTGAGAAAGGGCTCTTGAGGAGGATTGGCTGTTCTGTGACACCAGCTTCCAAAATAATGACTGCTGTGTAATGTCATAGGGCATTTGCCAGCATGAAAAAATGGCATTAATAGGTATGGAAAAAGAAAAAGTGTGTAGACAGCAGGGATTAGGAATTACATTAAGAAAACTATTACAGAAAAGATTTCTGTCTGTGCTTAATGTTCTACTGATTTCAGTAGGGTTCCTTACTGTGCTTACATTTAAGTACAGGTATAAAACTTGGAAGCCTTGATGCTTGGGAGTACCTTGATGAGAGGTGAATAAGGATACAGATTATTGCCTCACACATATTTTTAAGTTTTGATAGTACTCTGCTGGGGCTACTGTAATTCACATTGGTATCAAAGAGTGCAGCAGTTAAGTTCTGAATCTTTTCACTGCAGTCTGGGAACTGGCAGTGATGGCAGAGAGTGCAATCACAGGGGATGGCCCTGGTCAGATCCCCAAAGCCACTGCTCCTACCCCAGCCCCAGTGACAATTCTGTGCAAGTCAGAATGTGCACACAGGGCTTGCCCTGGATTTTATGGGATTGTCGTGTTGCTAGAAGGCAAAGGAGGGGCTAAACAGCTCGTAGGTTTTACTTGAAAGAAATCTGGGAAAGCTAATTGCTCACAGTTAGTTACAAGTGGTCAAGCAGAGAAATCAGGGAAACACTGAATGGACCAACACACGTGGTTCTGCTGTTTGAGCTGAGGGAACTGCAGTTGTGGGAACAGGCTCTTAGTCCTCCAGCTTGGCCATCTGCCAGAAGACGGAATAGACACTTTTGGCCAATATGTCCGGGAAAAACATCCCTGGAACCTTTGGGGCTGATGTACTTTTAACCTCTGGTTGTACATAAAAATATTTTCTGACCTCCTGCTATCCTCTTCCTCCCTCCATCAGCACTCCAGCACACAAATCTTTTTAGTCATCAGTAGGAATTTTAATTGCTTGGAGTTTCTGATCCTCCTTTTATAGATATATATACTATATTTGCCTGATATGTTTGGTGCACAAACTTGTGCTTGTTGGCACTATCTGTGTGGCAAGTTTCCAAAACAACCCAGTACTTTACAATTTCAAATACCAGGTTCTGTTCTTGCCTTTTGATTCAACTGATATGTTTTTATTTTTAACTTGACCACCAAATGGTCTAATTTTCAAAATTACTAATCATCATCTAATAGTGAGTGTCTTGCAATTTCTGAGTCATGAGAATATAAAAAAATCAGGACAGTAGTTTTAAATGATGGATGGGCAAATAAGGTATGGGAAAGAGGCCTAGCAGGAGTCACGGTTAAAGAGTCCATAAAAAAGAAGCTTGGATTTGTATACCAGTCATAGCCATGTAGTTCTGTTGCCTCAGGAGACCAAAAGAGGCACACAAATATCCAGTATAAGTTCAATTAGTTCAACAACAAGCCTGAAGAACTGATCTCTGGGGCAAACACCCGAGACAAATAGTGGGAGGACAATGCCAACTGCACCTTTTCCACTGCGAAGAAAATTGTGTCCTTTTCTTTAACAGCAGGAAGAAACAAATAGGATGAACCTCTGACCCGGGGGAGGTGATGGAATGCATGCTCAGCAAGTCTGCAGATGGCACCAAATTGTGAGGGAGCAGTGGTGCTCAGGGGCAAGGCTGCCGTTCAGGTAGATGTAAACAGGGGAACAGACAACTGGCAGAAGTCTCAATGAATTTATTTGGCCCCAAGAAAGGCTGGAGAAGGTCAAATTCTGGAAACTGGAGTAAGATGTTAAAAGGTTTTATGATTATGCTGGAGCAGACAGGTAATTAGAAGTATTAAAAGCTGACAAGGCACAAGGTCAAGATGAATTATATATTTCAGTATTCTAGCAAGAGTGGGAAGAGAAATATTTTGAGCAGCAGATGCTTTGCAACAATGGAGGTTCCAAAGGTGGGTGTGGGTCTGAAGAACTGAAAATTAACTAACATGCCCTTGTATATAAAGAGGCTTTATTTTGCCTAAATTCAGTTTCCAAATGAAGACAGCAGGAAGGGAAGTGTTTGTGAATAGGAGAAGGGTCCGGATGAAAGCAAAACACATTCCTCTGTGTAATGCTCTATATATTTTCTCAAAATAATTAATCTAAATTGCAAATCAACAGTCTTGCAATAGTTTTACTGTTCCTTGCAAGAACAGGCAATACAGGCACAGATAGCCCAGTGAGTGACAGCAGCAGGTATTTTTTATCCCCTGCCAGGTGTGTGAATATCAGAGGCATTATGAAGAGCTGCTTGGTTCATGTAGTGAAGCAGTAGCTTTGGATTTTCTCCCTGAGGACTTTCTCCCACCAAACTTCCTGGGCTATGGGGAACTATCCTTTCTCTGATTAGCTAAAGGAAAAAGAAACAGGAACCAAGTCTCTGCATGACTATTTCAAGCCTTTAGCAGATAGTTAGCTCTGACAAAACTGCAACTGTGTACACTGATGACAGTCATACACAAAGGCAACAGATAATAGAAGAAAAAAAAAGCATAAAGAGACACAGTGAAAGTATAAGATAACCAGTGTCCATAAACAAAAGTCCTTGATATGAAGACAAATAAAATACATCAGTGTAAATGAAGATATACCTAGTAACTAAAGTATTAACGTGTAATATTCATCTTTTCATGCAAACAAGATGTAAATAATGACTGTAAGAGCAAACCTCCATCACACACACTGTCTCTGACCACTCTGCTGCAGGCAGTGCTTGTCTCAACGTCCACACAACCTGCATACTTCTTAAGAGTACTGTTCATTTCAACCTGACTTTTAAAAGCACAAAAGTCCATGTGAACTGGATGCATAATACTGCCTTGAACCTTTACTTGTGCTTTTGATATCCCTTCTCTTCATTATCTACAATGCAATCAAGGGGGAGCTTTGCACAATGTCCTCCTCCCTCCTGCTGAGAACTGTTTAGTTTGTTCTACAACTGCTTCAGCTTCTGGAATCCTGATTCATCCAACTGTGACACGGGGGCATTCCTGGTAAGTGCCTGCATATCCCACAGATCTGGAGGCTTTGCTTTTGGAGATTAATATAAAACTAATGCAGAAGAAATGAAGAGAGTGATTTTGGAAAGAAGAAGTCCAGACAAAAAGAGGGGAACCATGAAGTGTCTCTATCACTTCTGCACATCAATCGCTATAATTATAGATAATAATAGAAACCCAGGGCAGGAAGTTCTCTGCTTTTCATTAGGTTCCTCAACCCAGCCAGATCCATGGACAATTAAACAACATGAGGAGTTCTGTGTTTG